CTGCAGCTCAGCCTTTCCGGGGCCGCCCTGCCCCGCCCCGCGGACCGCCCCAGCCCCGCCCATTGACCACAGGAGAAGAGAGAGGAGCTGCGGGCGCAGCGCCTGACCCACGGACTGGAGCCCCTGCGCTGCCTGGAGGTGGCCGCCGGGCTGAGGGCCGTGGCGCAGGACCCCGCAGGCCAGCGCTTCGTCGTGCTGGACGGTGCGGGCAGCCTGCACCTGCACAGAAAGGACGGCTGGATGCTGGACAAGCGGGTGGCCCCCGTGGCCCTCACCGGGCTGGCGACAGTGGGGGCCCCGCTGGGCACAGTGAGCCGCTTCGTGGGCTGGGGCCCTGCGGGGTTGGCCCTGCTTCGGCCTGACCTCAGCCTGCTGTGGCTGAGCAAGCCGGGGGCGGGCACGGTGGCCGGCCACGAGCCCACCTGCTGCCTGCCCGTGCCCTACCTGGGGCTGCTGGTGGTGGCAGAGACAGGTGGCACCCTGGCCCTCTGGAAGTTCCATTTAGGGGCCCGCCGCCTGGTGCCATGTGGGTCACCCCTTCAGCCCCCAGCCAGCCCCCCAGGGACGCTCACTCGCCTGGCTCTTGGACCCCCGCCGCCCCAGCACGCCGCGCGCTGCTTCATGGCCTACGGCTCCTCTGTGCTCACCTTTGACCTGCACACCTGGCTTCTCACAGATGTGCGGCGGGACCTGCATAAGACGTGAGGGCCGGGGACAGGCGCGAGGGCAGTGGAGCAGCGGTCAGATGGGTGCGGGCCTGCCAGCCAGGTGCTGATTGCCCGGGCCTCCCCTGTGCCCCAGCACCATCTCTGACCTGGCTTACTGTGGAGAGGTGGAGGCCATGGTGACGGCGTCCCGGGACAGCACCGTGAAGGTCTGGGAGGCCGACTGGCAGATCAGGATGGTGTTCGTGGGCCACACAGGTGCGCCCTGCAGGGGCTCCGGGCCTGTGCCCCGGCCGCTGCCTGGGCCCCCTCTCCCTGCCTGCTCTGCCTCGAGTCAGCGTTCCTGAACCTCCACCTGCCCTAGGCTAACTTCTGGCCACTGGGCACCCCGGAGGGCTCCCTTTAGTCCCGGGGGAGTGACCGCACCCTCCCTCAGGCCCAGTGACCTGCCTGGCAGTGCTTCCGAACTCGGGCCTCCTGCTGTCAGCCTCCCAGGACGGGACCTTGCGCACATGGGACCTGCAGGCTGCCGCTCAGGTGGGCGAGGTGGCACTGAGCTCCTGGGGCCACGACGGGCCCTCGGAGCTGGTGAGGGGACTGCTGGCTCCCGCCAGCCCTGGCTGGCCAGTGATGTCCTTGCGCAGCAGCAGCGTGGAGCTGTGGCGCCTGAGTGAGCTGTACTCGCCACTGGCACAGCTGCCGGCACCCATCCTCCACCTGCAGGTGGCCCCCGCCCTGCCCACGCCCTCCGAGCCGCCCCTGCCCACGCGGCTTGTGTGCGCCTGCGCCGACGGCTCGGTCTACCTGGTGTCTGTGGCCACCTGGCGGACGGTGAGCGCGCTGCTGCTCGGGCCCGAGGACTGCGCCGCGGC